GATGAGGACAAGTGTCCCAGAGAGAATGGGGGAAAATTATCACTATACTCAGGCGAGAGAGAGACGTACACGCCCAACGAAGGCTGGCACAGAAGTCCCTTCCTCTCTCTTTTAGTCTGTCTTAACAGGTGTGGACCTTGAAAGACTTGTTGTTTTTAAACCCTCTCCACTCCATATCCCTATACTTCCCCAGTGGATTTCTCACAGGTACCTTGTGTGTGTGTGTGTTTCGACGCTCACCAAATCAGTTTGCCTTGTCAATCCTCGCTGCTACACCAGTCATCAGTCCCACGATCGTCTAGCTACTGGATTAAGCCCTGGTACTATCTCTAACACTCATAACCTACCTCTCACCAACCTATTCTTTCCCTATCCCCACATCCCTCTCACCCCACAAGAGTCTTACCTAAACTCTCTTGTCTTGTCTATTTCTTTCTTTGTTGGGTTTGTTAACCAAGAAGAGTACCCTGAAGGAGAATGTAGAATGTAACTTCGGTATATCCGTGTCTAGCATTAGGAATAATATTAGGAGAGAAGTAAATAATGAAAATGATTGTTATAGGAATGCAGTTAGAAGTCTGAGTAGATCTATAACCCACTATGATAACATGAAAGTAGATAAGTATGTTTATGGAGCAACTTGCAATGTGAACACTGACTGATATTGAGGTGGCCAGACCTAGGCTTGGTTACAAGTACTTCTAGCAGTTTGGGAGACACACAGATGATGATCAAACTAAATGTAAGATAAGATAAGATAAGATTTCGTTCGGATTTTTAACCCCGGAGGGTTAGCCACCCAGGATAACCCAAGAAAGTCAGTGCGTCATCGAGGACTGTCTAACTTATTTCCATTGTGGTCCTTAATCTTGTCCCCCAGGATGCGACCCACACCAGTCGACTAACACCCAGGTACCGATTTGCTGCTAGGTGAACAGGTGTAAGGAAACGTGTCGAATGTTTCCACCAGCCGGGAATCGAACCCGGGCCCTCCGTGTGTGAAGCGGGAGCTTTTAGCCACCAGGCCACCGGGCCACCTATGTGATCAGGTATATGGCCACTGTCTTGAACACTGTGTGCTTAATTGTCCACTTATTGAGGAATACAGAGATAAACAGTATAATAACCTATGTGACATGTCAAGATATCTTATTAATGAAAATAAGATACCAGATATACTAAGCAAATTTCCTAAATTTGCTTGTAACAGGTAAGTGAACTATAGATAAGTAGATATAAATCCAAATGTACACCTGCTAATCCTTTTCGGGCATAGTTTCTAGGCCCTCTGTGTACCCATATGTTTTTGCAATACCGTCAACAGGTTGGAAATGAGGTGCACAATAAACTAGCCACTTCGGTGGCAAAATCTAAAATCTTTGTTGGGTTTATCAGGGCCACTGACAGCATAAACCGTATCGAGCCCGACTTCTCGATGGCACGAGGAATATTTTTTGCCCAAGGCTGGGCGACGAGAGAAAAAGAACAAAAGTTCCTTTGTAAATAGAGATAGAAACTTGAAGTTTCTGATTAGATCCGGTGGACCCCCTTGCCAAGCCCCAGCAGACCAGGATGTCTGCACCCCTACCTGAGTACAGCAACCGGCTTCCCACCAAAGTTTAGTTAGTTTAATATATTTATTATGCACCTCATACCCGTCCTGTGGGCGGTAGTCAAAAGTTTACAGAGGTACATAATTGGTCCAGGGACTGGACTCCAAAGTTTTGATAGCTGAGCAAGTTACAAAGGTAATGACCTACATCTGGTCACAATCATGACAAAGTAACAAAGGTAATGAGCTCCAGGTAGAGCTGGTCACAATCATGACAAGTTTCAAAGGTAATGAATGATAAACACGTTATGACATGATTACAATCATAAACAAATTACAGAGTAATGAGCAGTTAACAAACATAGTAGGGAATTCATCCATTGCCCCAACAACAGATGTTGCTAGGTGCCTGTTCCTCCTCGGCAGACAGCCAGACAGCCGTTGCAAACAGAAGCAAGTTGCGCCGGGATCTGTTGCTTGCAGGAGCACCATCGACCCTCCCCAAGAGGTCGAAGAGTTTGTAGAAAGAGTTGTCTTCCTTACTCCTTCCCTCCTTCCCAGTCATCACTCCTAACCCTCTCAACTGGTGGGAGTTCATGAAGAGAGTATGGAAGAGATCCTTTTCCACTGGTAGGGGTAGTCTGGCCACCTTCCATCACACCTCAGCATTGAGCTCCAGTGAGTGCCCATTCTTCTTGGGTAAGATAAGATAAGATAAGATAAGATTTCGTTCGGATTTTTAACCCCGGGGGGTTAGCCACCCAGGATAACCCAAGAAAGTCAGTGCGTCATCGAGGACTGTCTAACTTATTTCCATTGTGGTCCTTAATCTTGTCCCCCAGGATGCGACCCACACCAGTCGACTAACACCCAGGTACCTATTTGCTGCTAGGTGAACAGGACAACAGGTGTAAGGAAACGTGTCGAAATGTTTCTACCCGCCGGGAATCGAACCCGGGCCCTCCATGTGTGAAGCGGGAGCTTTAGCCACCAGGCCACCGGGCCACCAAGCTGTACCACTGGCCCGTACTCATTGTGGCCCTGACGTGCCTTCGTTGTTTAATATCTTTATTATGCACCCCATACCCATCCTGTGGGCGGTAGTCAAAAGATTACAAAGGTACATAATGGGTCCAGGGACTGGACCCCAAAGTTATGATAGCTGAACTAGTTACAAAGGTAATGAACTCCAGGTAGATCTGGTCACAATCATGGCAAGTTACAAAGGTAATGA